GAGGAGGGAGGATCACCTCCCCGGGGAGCATCAGCAGCGGGGGGACTACAATTTCAGCAAGCGGGGGCGGCGCTAGGCGCGAAGAGGGGGGAAGACAGGGTGTATTAAACCGGGCAGAAGAATAAGAACCTTGTGCCTATCTTTGTAGCGAGCAATGGAGATGGTCCAAGGGGGTCGTAGCGCATCTTCATTTTTCTTTCTTCTTTCTTGTAGGTGGCCTCTTCGATTCTTGATCCTTATGCTTGGCGAGTGCTCCTTCCCACACGGATGCTCCCCTTCCATCGACGCCACATTTTATAATGACGATTGAGGAGGTTATTCTTAAGACAAGGGCAGACACCTTCTCAAGATGAAGCCCCGCCCTCTAACATTGCCCGAAATTCCCCTCCCCGAACGAAGGGGGATACTTTCGGAAACATTAATGATTCATACACGGCACGACTATCCCAGTGCATGACTTCCCTCCTCGCATGATTTCTCTTGCCCTCACTCCCCTTCGACTTGATGCTCCTCTTCGCATGCGTCACAAGATGAGGGCGCTTTTTCAATTCGTTCTCTCCTCAGGGAAATTTCCTCGATGTCACCACGTCGAAACAGCCAATACCATCCTCACTCACTTTCGACTTCAACGAGCAGAACAAGCGACTTAACAGATACACATACACATAATGCATGAGGGTATACAGCCTTGCGCCCTTCTTTCGAGGGAGGAGCTGTAAGGGAAGAGGAGGAGAAAGATGAAAAAAACAAAGAGGAGGAAGCACAATAAGAAACGGAAAACCAAGAACAAATTGCGTGTTGCCTATAAAGGAGATCGCACAAACAGACGTATCGACTGAGCTCCTTGCGCTCAGCGGTAGCAGCAACTCTTCGCTGCCTCAACCTGCCCCTCCCTCTCCTTCCTTGTTAGGAAGGAAGGGAGGAGAAGAGAGAAGGGCAGGATCAAGCAGCGAAGAGTCGCTGCTGCCGCTGAGCGCAAGAAGCTCAGTAGCAATGCTTAGGTCGAGCGACGAATTTCCCGTTTGTGAGGTCTATATATATGCACACATCCACATGCTACATATACACACATCTGTTTCCTCCTCCTCGTCTGTTTGCTAATGCCCCTGAGTCGTTCACGAGGTTGACTATATGACATGGAAACCTAGAAAGAAGAAAACACGTCTATCTACAAGAAGAGACCTCAAGGATTCCTGACCGCACAGGTACCAGGCACCATCGTAGATGCTTCCAACAACAACACCTCGATTTGATCATGCTAGTGAGAGATAAAGCATAATTACTGCATGCCAAAATAAAGGCGCTTGTGCGCTGAAAGGAAAGTAGTGCACCGGCTGTGCATCATGTCGGACCATGCGTAGCCATTGCTTCCTAGTCCACATGCCGTGTCACGGTCTGCACGATCGTGTCGAGACAGGCTTTCCAGGCTTCCCCCTCCCTTTCGCTCGGTTTCCTGACCTACAAAGCATGCATCGGAGCAAAGGGGCTTAGGGGTCACCCTGTTGCCATGGTAGTCAGATCTAGCATTCTGTACACATGTTCTCCTTTGGTCACAACCACTCCATTGCCTTGATCCCCTTCTCATGTTCATAAGGAATAGAGAAACCTCCCGTCCTCCTGCAGCGAGCCTGGAGACTCACGCGCCTTTTTGGCCCATAGGCGGGAGATGGGGCAAACGCTGCAACGCAGCTTTCTCGTCTTTCCCTCGTATGCAACCATCTCTGCATCGCAAACAAGCACCATGCCTGTGTCTTGATTGCAGGGTTGAATCGACACAGGCATTTTTACTTTGCGTCTCGTGCACTTCGTTTCCGCCTCGTAACTGCCAGGGAACGCACACGTCCAAGCCCGTTGAGAACCTAAGGGGGGGAAGAAACAAGCCAGCCATTTCCACGACCATCGACATGTAAAAGAAAGGCTTTGCCATCGAGAGAGCATCACTAGATAGTTCGCTCTATCGAGTGAGCATGGCTTGAATGCACACGCGACCAACACAACAGAACGGCGTCTTTTCCCAACACAGCACGCCTGTGGTGTGCTCGGCTTTCTTTGGCATCCTCGTAACGATCGAGAACGAAAACAGGCGAGTCTGACCTCAAGAACCAGCCCTATTCTTTGAAATTTGCCGTGGATATGTGTCTATCATGCCTTAGTGCCCTTGCTATCTCGCTAAAATGTACTCGTAGCGTGCAGGGGGCAGCAAGAGACAAGGGGGGGTACGGCGGGATTTGCTGCTTGAAGGGACTGGACGAAGCGTGCTGTGACGGAGACTCGCCATGGGCCCTCGCTCCTTTTGCGGGAGAGCAGCCTGTCCTCGTGACACCGTTACACACACAGATTCACGCTTTCCACCACGCTTAGAAGCGGGAGGCATGAAATAGGCTTCCATGGTCGTGTGAGACATGTGCCCCGTGGACGTGCCCTGCGTGGGCGAGGCAACTTGGGGCGTGGGGGGAGAGGAGAGAGACAGCAGGCGCCTTGGACGGGGTTCGACGCAGCGTCACACGCACCGGGTCTGAGGTCCTTCCGGTGAGTCTTTGCCATGCTCAGGCGCGTCGAAGGAGGACGATAGAGCCATTCAAAGTCGCATGCTTGGGATGGGTCGAGACGGGAGAGACACGGGGTTGAGGGGGGGCATCGGGCAGTTCCCAAAGGCCGTGCCCGGCACATGACCAAGCAAGCCCTCATCCCTGTCGTCCCCAACCCCCCCATCCACAGAGGCAACCTTCGTACCGACCCCGAGCCGACGTCACGAGGCAGTCGAGCAGGGCGAGATGGCAGGGACCCTCGACCGCGCCTGCAAGCTCCGACCTTCGCGAGGCAGGAGGTTGGAAGGCATGGCTTCGATGGCCTGCCGCATGAAGGACGCTCGAGGGCATGGGTGGGAGGATCCCAAGCGTCCCCAGTCTATATCAGCGTCACAGAGGGGGGCGCTGGCAAGGCTGATGCGACGTGTCGACGAGGCAGGCCCTCGCTTCCGCCGGGTGCCCCTCCTTCCTCGCGGTGCGCTCTTTGGGTGATGAATCAAGAGGGAAGAGGGTCAGAGGGAATGACTCCGTGTCCAAGACGGGCCCGTGCAGCCTCCTTAGGGGGACTCGACATGGTTCCAGAGTCAGGCAGAGACTCAGGGAGCGCCTTTGACCCCGGATGGCCTTTTTGTGGCGCGCATGATAGTCCTCATTTCTTCCTGCGTCCGTACATTCCTCTGATCTGGTCACTTCCAGGCACAGACACGAGCGCAAGAACCCTGCTGCCTGCGTCCGTTCCGACTCGAGTCCTAGGAGCGAGCAGCAGGGCCGGGCCTCTCCTCTTTTGGCCCTGCATCGACCTCCTGGTCCACAGGCCCGCGTCCCGGTCGTCATTAGCCTCGTTGGTGACGTCACACGTCGAGGGTTGAAGATGCCTCGAATATTTCGGGACAACTCCCCCGCCATACGTTGAAAAGGTGTCAGCGAGGCGCGCAGATTCAGGGCAGGGGCGCCCTGCTGCTGGCAGGTTTGAAATTAAACGGTCGCCTCCGCCCGAAACGGCAGGAGGCTGGGGAAGGGTATGCCCGTCGACTTCGCACCGCACGCGGCAGAAAAGACGACACATGCCATATCAATGTGCAGGGCAATGCACGAGGAAGACGATGGCGTGGATGAGGAAGGGGTGGGGGTGCTCACAGAGGGTGCAATCGAGGGAAAATCTGGGAAGATCGAATGTTTCAAAAGAGAACGCACCGGACGCTGTGGCGCCCGAGGTCCCAACGGACTGCTTGTTCTGTTTGCTTTCAACGTATGTTTGACACTGCTTTGTGCTTGTGTGTATGGATTGGCTGTGCATTTGGTTTGGCTTTTTGGTCTGCGTGCACCCGAACCTCCCTGGTCTTGTGCGTTCCGTCCCTCTCATGCGGCAAACAAGCCACAATGACCATGGCATAGACGGGACTTTGCCCTGTGATATACGCAGCGACGCTTCCAACGTAGATTCAATGAATGCATGCTTGACAATACGGTGCATGGAGGCGCGTTGTGCGCTTGTGCTTGTCACACAAGCCACACAGGACTCAGAGGCCATCCTCCTCAAGGACGCGTCGAAGCTCATCAGTCTTTGTTTGTACCCCCCCACATTTTTATTCCCACAGACCACCTTAAAACATTTACAATGGCGGACACGGCTGTTTTTATGAACAACAGTAATATAAATAACAAAGGCAACAACCTTCAAGTCAACAACAACAATAACAACAACAACAAGAACAACAATAACAAGAACAACAAAAACAAAATGAAGAAGGGGGCTGTTCAGCCTTCCGCTCCTCTTTCGAGAGAGGAGCGCGCTGCATTCCTGTATGTGAGGAACCCTCCGAAGAGAAGGAAGAAGAAGAAAAGCCAGAAAACGACGAAGACGGAATGTCCGTCTCCTCTGAAGGAGGTTCCGCAGATGGAGGAGTGCACTTTGGACTCCTCCATTTCCACTGAGCTCCTTGAGCTCAGTAGTGGCAGCGACTCCTCGCTGCCACTTCCCTCTCCCCCCATTGTCCTTCCTGACAAGGAAGAAGAAAGGGAGGAGGAAGAACTTGTAGAGCCACACGTTATGGCTCTGCGAAAGGAGGAGGAGGAGGACGGGAGGGACGACCGATCCTCCCTCTTGGGCACGCCTCTGATCGATGAGGCGATGCCCCTCCCCCTGTCCCCCCCTCCCCTCCCCTCCACACCACGTCCTACCCTCCTCGGGTGGGGCAGGTGGCTGCTAGCAGCAGCCAAGAGGGTGGCTGCTTGGGTGTGTGCGCTATGGCGGCGCGCCTAATGGGTAGGGAGGGGAAGAGGGACCTCTGAGAGACAGAGAGGAAGAGAGGGGGTGTATGTAAGAAAGCGGAAGAAAATGAAGACTGAGAGATTTAACTATGAGAAGAAATCCATTTAGCGAACGGGAATAAGAATGATGGAGAAAACGATGTCAAACGGGAGAAAGAATCAAGGAAAATACAAAACAAAATCATGACAGAGCATTTTCATGTGCATTTGCTCACATGCCTTCGCTTAGTCCTTCCTTTCCTCCTTCACCTCTCCCACCACAGCTATAGCTCCCTCCCTCCTCGAGCCGGGTGGTCACGATTCTCACCCCCAGACCCTCCGCCTCTCACATCATCTACCTCCAAACGCTTTGACGTCATGCCTCCCTCCCTCCTTCCCTCCTCATCCCACTTCCAACCTTATCCACCCCATTCCCTTACCTCTTCATCCTTACAAGACTTCCCCGCCTATACAAACACTGCCCCGACCTCCTTCCCGCCTTCCCTCCCTCCCTGTTTCCTCCTCC